GACGCTAAGTAGTCTTAAAGAAGACTATAAGTCTTATAACGATATTAAACGAATTTAGAAGAATAATAAAGGCTTTAAATAGCTCGAATTCATTCTCGCTAGACGTCTTAATAGTATAACTATTAAATTAATATAGCTATTAATATAGTAGTTATTAATAAAAAATCTTTTCTCTATTAGCTTTATTACTATTAAAAATACGTCTACTATACTTAAATATTTATTATAAAATATAATTTAACTAATATTCGAATATAGCTATTATCGAGATTATTCTTTTATTATTTATCTATCCGTATTTTATTAAGCCGCCTTTCTTTTATTATATCTTCTTTTAGTTAATTATCGACTTTCTTCTCTTTCTCTTTAATTCTAATAGAATTCGCTATAAATAGTATAAGCTAATAAGACGTAAAGCTATATTACGTCTTTATATTACTCTTTATCTTATTATTATACTATATCTCTATAAATAAGTCTTACGCGCTAAGATCTATTAGTAAGATATATAACGACGTATTTCTAATATAGTTTAGCCGTTCGATATGATTATAGAGCGCTATATTTAATATTTAATTTTTTTTTTATAATCTTATATCTGAAGGTTCTATCGAATTTTCGAAAGGTATAAGATATTTATTCTTACTATTCGGCTTATAATAAATATCGCTATTATAATTTTAAGCTTTTAAGTATTAGATAATTACTTATAGCTATTCTTTCTTTTATAATTATAATATATTCGTTATATATTATTATAGACTTATTTTAATTATTAAAGAAATAGATTAATTATTAAGAACTAGCTTTCGTCTTTATAAAGATTAAATATATTTAAAGTCTTAGCTTATCTTTTTAATAATAATCTTTCTTATATTATAATAGAGCTCTTTAAGATAATCTTAACGCTATTTAAATTATAAGAATTAATTATAATAAAAAGAAGTTATAATTAAATAAGTATCTTTAGAGATATCGAGTATTACTCGAGCTTCGAAGCGATAATATCTAAATATATTAACGATTAATTAAAATTCGATATTTATATTTAATTATTACTCTTTTTCTATAAAAGAAGACTTATAATTAGACTTTAGAATATATTCTATTATATATACGCTTTATATCTAAATATTTTATTATTATAATAGAATATTATAAATATAAAAAGAAATTAATAATATCTCGATCTCGAAAGACTATAAAATAAATATATAAATTAGAAATAATTATTATAAGAGCTATACTTACTTAAATCCCTTTATTTTTTTTTCTAAAATAAAACTATTAGATATTATCTATAAATTTATATAATTTTAAGAATTATTTATTAAAAAATATAATATCTAGAATAATACGTAGTATTTAATATCTAGAATTAGAGTTAGAGTTATAGATTAATATTACTTAATATCTCAACGTTAAGATTATTATAACTCTTAAATCTCTTTATTATATTATATTAAAAAAAGACTTACGAGTAATTTAAAATATACTTTAAAGATTAATTAAATTACTTTAATATAATATTTAATTAATATAAAGATAATATAATTAATAATAATAATCTACGAGCTAATAGCGAATATTTCCGCTATTAAAAAGTTTAATATTATTAATAATATATTAAGACTACGCTTATAATACTACTTTTCTCTTTAAAATATCGACTTTCTTAGCGATATAGATCGATATAAGTTCTTCTTCTTATTAGTAATATTAAGATCGCTATAAATATATATCTACGAAAAATTTAATAAAATCTTAAGACTTTTAAATTTTAATAGCTTTAAGAGCGCTTATCTCTAGCGGCGATAGCGATAATTATACGCTTCCCGGTATATCTAATAGATATCTTATTAATAGTATATCGTAGTAGTATTCGAGACTTTAATTTTAAAGAAAATATATAAAGAAGTAATTAAATAATAATTAAATAAGTATTTTACTATAGAATAATTATTAAATATTATATTTTTAGATAAAGAAGATAAGTTAAAATAAAGGCTTCTAATTAATTAGATATTATCGAATTACTTTTAAATTATATACGCTAAGACTTAAATTAATATTAAATAGCTTTCTTAATAAAATATTAAATTTATAAAATTATATTAAGATTTTAAATAATAATAGCGAGGTCTAAGATAATATAATATAGTTTTAAAAGTAGTTATCGAGTGTATAAGTAAGGGTTATATATTCGATGAATTCTATAAGACGTTATTATTAAGTATTAAGTCGCTAAGTAATCGAGTTATAAATATAGAAAAATAAGATTTTACTATATATTTAGAAGACTTTAAATAAATTTAATTCATTTAAAAACGTAAAGTTTAAGATTTATTGTATTATATACTAGTTTAACTATTCTAGCTAAATATATATAACTTAGTAAATACTTATATTAAATAATATATATACTTATTAATCTTATTTCTCTATTATATCTTCGCTATCGATATAAGAAGATAAATATAATAATTAATAACCTTCGAACTTATTATTAGATATATTATTATTTACTATATCGACGTCGTAAGATAAAAGTTTAATATTAAAATATCTCGTTAATTTAGTTATCTCCTTCTCTTTCTACTTTATAATCTCTTATACTTAAATATTTATTATATTCTAATATATAACTTAATAATAAATATCTTAAGATCTTAATAAAATAGTAAGAGTAAAGTTAAAGTTTTCGATTATAAGTATATACTAATAAATCTACTCGCGTAGAGTATTATAAATCGTATTATATTAAGAGCTTTTATTCTTATTAATATTTAACGCGTTTAGAGTATACGAATTATAATTTATATTAATAATCTTCTAATTATAAAACTTTATTATAGTTAATATTAAATATTTATCGAGATTATAGAATAGTTACTTTAATATATATATATATATATATTAGTTAGATTATTTATCTTTCTCTTTAATCTTAAACTCTTTTAAATTAATATATAGATTTTATAACTAGTCGATTATAATATAATCACCTTTCTATCTATAAATCTTATAACTATTTTAGATATCTCGTTATTTAAATATCTCTTTACGAATAATAGATATATAGATAGCTAATAGCGCGATTTTAGAAGTCTTATTATATTTATTAAAAGAGTTATTAATACTTATTCTATCGAAGAATCTAATTTAGCGATTAACTACTCTATTATAAAGCTATATTTATTATAACTTAATTCATTAATTAATAATACTCTTATTATATATTTAATAATCTCGAAATAAAGACGTTTCGTTTTTTAAATCTAATACTATACGTAGATATTAATATATATTAACTATAATTATAATCTTAATTCCTCGATTTAAATATATAAACTTCGATATTATTTTAGCGATATTAATAGTATAGAGGTATTATATAATAATATTAATAGCGATATAAGCTAAGATTTTAATATAGATTTAAATAATAAAGTGTAAGTAGATATTAATATAGGCGTAGATCTAAATATTATAATCGTTAAGCTTTAAATAGCTATTAATAAATTAGACGAAATTAGACTCTAATAGCCTTTATTTTCTTTAATAGCGATTCGCCTATTTATCTTATTAAGTAATTCTCTTAAGATCTATTTTCTTTAAAGTTACCGCGATACGATTTCTATTAATAAGATCTTTTCGATTCTAATATATATATATATATATTAATTTAATATCGAAGTTCGTAGTTATCGAGTTTTTTATAATAGCTCTAAGCTTCTCTTATAGCTCTCGATTCTAAATTACTAGATTACTTAGCTTACGCTTATACTTTATATTATAAATAATTTAAAAGCTTTTTAACTATTATTTTATAATAATAAATTCTTTTTTATATAGATTATATAGAATCTATATATCTAATATTATTTCTTTATAGAAGAGAGCTATAAAAAAAACAAACACGCGTCTCAAAATTCATGTTCCTCCAAGGCTTCGTACTCAATTCGTACTATGGTGTCATGGTTGGCAGGTCGCACGTCCACCAAAACGAAGAAGACCCGGTATGGCGTCTCAAAAACTCAGAAGCCACACCATAGGAGCTTTCAAAGGTGCAAGCCGAGAGACCTAGACTAGTCCTTGACGCAAATAGAGCCCGTTTCATGCCGTCGCCCTTCGAATCTGCTTTAAGTACGGAAAACTAGACACACAGACGGTTCCGAACCAGCTACCTCCGGTTTACAACAAGCGAACCACTACACAACTCGGCAACAAAACGAGCCTCTATGACTTCGTGTAAGCCGAGAATGTTGCAAAAGGTAGCGTTCTCGTCCTGAAAGCCCACCTGAACCCGGATCACACGTCTGGGATGGTTGGTGGCGAAGCCTCCATCCTGACCGACGGCAAGCTCGTGCATTCCTGGGACACGACACGGCTCATTTGGCGCGCCGCTGGCGATACCACGCGCCCAGAAGACATCAGAGTCATCCCAGCCTGGCTCCGCATGGCTATAGCACTTGTGACGGAGTGGATGTTCTGGATTGGCACGTCCGGTCGAAGACAACCCCTCATTTTCAACAAACAAATCATGTCGCACGTATATTAGACCCAGCCATTCAACATTGATAAGACTGAAGAGAGGCTGGGTAATCATCCCGTGCCGGACTGGAAGGATGGCATAAAGCGCTCGGTGGAATGGGAGATTGAGACAAGGAAGAGCGATGGGAAGTCTGTGTAGAAATAAGGGCCAAGAATCTCGACTTACCGCGACCTTGTTTAATAAATCGAAGCCCTAGCCCGTGGGTGTACTTCGCATCTGTAGGAGATTGTACATGAGCACATAGGAACCAATTATATTCATTCTGTTTTGCGCGTGTTTCGGCCGTATCAAGGAACGATCCCAGGCTTTCCTTCCCTCCATCTTCTCGACCCAACTCCCACACAGCACCACCACTGGAGTCGGCAACGGCCTTTCGAACTTCACCGTCAATTCAGCAGTAGCGCAACCAGCAGCCCATTGCACAAACACCGGCGTTCCCAGCGTCTCATCTAGCAACGTAGCCATGAGACCTCCGTGTGCAAAATCTCTGCAAGATAACATTTAATCGGCGCATCGATATTGAGGTAGTCAATCGTGGCCTGAGCAGTTCTTTCACATACTTAAGCCCGCCGCTTACGCCTTCGCCGAGCGAAAAGAGCATTCGGCACTCCCCGGGGCCTTTCTGCGCTTCGACAGGCCGAGGGTCTTCGCTCCACCTGTCTGGAGGTATGAAGCCCCTGTAGAAGCATTGGGATGCTCGGATCGTAGCATCGGTCCATTGGGTTTGGGAGAAGAAAGTGCGACGATCAGTTTCCGGGTTGTTCTCGCTGCGAGATCGGTTGCCGATTGGGGTGAATGTTGGGTCGTCAAGAAGGGTTTGGTACCTTGAAATTTATTCGGAACATCAGTCCGTATCCGTTCCGTGAACGTAGAGATGGCTGACTGTCATGTTTACAGGGACGAGCTCCGGACGAGGTGAGTGAGATTTTTGACTCTTTTATCAAGGCAGCTCGCAGTGTAATTTTCCATACTCATCAAGAAGGGGTCATAAAGAGAAGCAGATTCTTACCAGTGTAGTGGAGTAAAATCGATGAGGTCTTCGGGGCAAATGATGGAAAAGTCGAATTTGGTGACATGCTTGGAGTCCATGATGCGCCAACGCAGCAGACGTTGGCTACGTGAGCGTCGAGAGTTCACAGGCGAAATAGGGAGATTATGAACCTTGGTACGGGGGAGCCGGTTTCTCGCGGGTCAGCTCAGAAAATTGCAGCTAGTCCAAGAGAGTTAGCACGTCCAAGGACTGGCAAGCACTAGCGACCACCATTGCTCGTGTTTGATTGGCAGAACCAAAGCCATGAACATGGTCTGCGACTACTCGCTCTTTCGCTCAGCACAGTATGGCTTTTGCCGGTACTCCGAGGATAGTAAGCCAGTGCCGAGTTGCCGGTCAACATATCTCAGACTTGCTTTGTGGAGAAGGTTCGTAGGTGGTAAGGCACATAGGAATCAGCAGCGCCTGTGCGGACTTCATCCAACATGTGAATTATTATAGGAGATGCTAGCGAGATTTGAATACTACAGCCATGGGCTTTAATAAACTGAGGTAGATGATAGAAGTAATTTGCTGGCTCTTGAATAAAAGTCGGTGTGCTCCTGGAAGTTTGGCAGAAAGCCTGGGCCAATATTGTTGCCAAGTCCCAGGAAACCCCTCGGCACTGAGGGTTCCAGTGCGACGGTGGATTGCTCGGTAGCATTATCGATGTTGGAATCAAAGCGCACGTAATGAATGAAACCATGCGCGCGCTCAGTAGCTGTAGCCTTTTTCAGGCTATCAAACCCTGCACAGTCGGTGTAAGCCCTTGCCTTCGCTGCAATAAGATGAACACAGATTACGGATCATAAGAAACAGACATGGGAAAAGGCGGAGGTTCGTTATGGGATCTAGAAACAGAAACATGCGAGTAGCTTTGCAGGGATAAGTATAAACCGGATTGAGTGGGACTATAATATGACTTGCTGGTCAGTGTCCTTGATAACAAGCTGTTTGTCGCAGTCTCTACAGGCTTCAACGGTTGACGTAAGGAGTGAGTCTAGCTCCTGGCGGTGCGGCGGTAGACTCGATAGCATTGATTGCCTTTAGACAACTTATAAGCAGCCTAATACAACAAAAAGCACAACGTCATCTTCCACCTCCGACGACCTAATCGGAACAACATCACTGACTTTGCCACATCCCGTGTATGACTGCTGTAACTCAGCGTCATCCCGTGTTTTTTGCTCGGCGATGCGCTTAGGAATGCGACCACTGAATTGGTAGACGTATGCTTTTTAAATGCCAGTTGCAAGCGGGAGTCAAGAATAAGACAGGTGGTTGATAGAATACGGCGCTCTTTGGCGCTCTGGCAGAATCAACCAACTTCTTTCTGATGCCAGTCGCCGATTTCTGTCTTTCCAGAAGTGTCATCTTGAAATCGTTTGAATTGGCAGTCTCATTGTACGTTACTGTCAGCGTCTTCGAGGTAAGACACCACGGCTTCGACGGTATTTTGAATTCCAGTCCGCTTTGAGCATCCTGTGTACTCTAGAGACGCCCGAATCTCCAATCCACTAATTGCCCGTGATACCAAGATGGACAATCTTCAAAGCAGAGAGTTTGATGAGGACCGACTTGGCGAGAACGGTACCACCCAAAAGCCCACGTGTCGAGTCTCCAGTGACAGTGCATGTCGACATCTAAATGTAAGATTCTCGTCTCACGAGGCTGCACTGCATTGCGGAATTCCATGAATTTGATGGAAGCCAAGGAGTGCGTGAGGGACCATAAGGTGCTGCCCCAAAGCGCGGGGTTTACTTCGTTGTACGCCTGGCAGCAAACGCGTAGAAGATCCGGGTTCGTCCTATTGTTGTCGAGTCGTTCGAGATCTAGAGGCTTGCCAACGTTTCATCATGCATTGTGTAGGGTTTATCCAGCCAGTATTCATGGCAGGCATAACAATCCGCGTCACCATTTCGGCAAAGCTGTATAACCCTTTGGAATGTGATGGGAATATTTGTTATTAGAAGAAGAATAGTGGCTGTGAAGCCTAATAAAAAGTATTTGGTTAGCCCTAACACAAGGCTGGGAGGATATTCCAACATATCCATTGGGGCGTCCTTGTCTGCAGGCATCATGTCGCAGTCCTAGGTTTCAAGTAAGTTGCATGCAGCCTCGTCGGAGATCTTTGTCTCGCAAATAATGTGAGTAAATTTTGCTCTGAATGAGAGGACTGCCCTTGCATATCTTCACCTTTCCTCGTCCCATCCATGAATGAGTGCGAGTTTGATGTGGCCTAGTCGGTCACCGAGAAGATGGTGACCTACCATTTTTTGCAATTCGGGCGGGAGATGCAGGAATGGTGTTTCTGTATCTTGTTTGAGAGTGCATAGGTCAACATTCATTATGTAAGGAAGCTATCAAGTCTCCGACGACTTACATGGCTTTGGTCCGCTTTTTTTTCGTTGCGCAATTAGCAAACAGCCTGGATTCTTTTTCATTTGCTTTCTCTTTTCCTCTCGAACATCATGAACGGGTAATGATCAATATTGTTTACACATGGAATGAGGGAAGGATAGGCTTGGACAGAAGATGCTGTTTGCATGGAGGTCTCCCTGGTCCTTGTAGGGCGAGTCATTCACAATAGATGAATTCCATAGTGAGGAAGAACTTAGATAGCTACACAATTCAAGCCATATACTATACTTCCCAGTTGCCCTTACCTTGACACTCTTACAAATTCTATTATATGTACGTACGACGCGACGCGTAGTGCCAAGAGCCCACGGCAGGGGTTCAAGAACGGGTTACAGCTCGGCAGGGGTGAGTAGATCGCCCGTATAAGTATAGGGTTCCCCCCTGGGCCCCGTTCCCCCCTCTAAAGTATCGATGTCGTTTTCGACTCGGCCCCATATTTCGGGTTGAACGGATACGTTTAGCATATACTACTATAAGTCTATCCAGGCACGCGGGTGCCAGAAATATCCGTATACCTACAAATTGAAAAGTCGATTATAATTTCACAACTAAGGACCCTAGCTGAAGGTTCTTGCGATATAATTTAAAGATCTTATCAGTATAAATAGATCGCTCCGTAAAAGTTTATCCTCCAAGAGAATAATCGTCGAGATATCTTAGCTGACACGATGGAGAGACTTCTTGGCGTATACGGATATTTCTGGCACCCGCGTGCCGGGTTACAGCTCTGTAGGGGTGAAAAAAGTTCGGCAGGGGTGAAGATTCGGCATAGAATATGCTCGCTTCACCCCCGCCGAACTTTTTTCCACCCTGCCCAACTGTAACCCGGGCTCGGGGCGATCACACCAACCCTCGAACAACTGTTTGGTCACCATCCACAGATGATGTTGAGCAGCCACAAACATATGCGCATATCGCTGAACAACTTGACAGGTGTAAGAAGCTTACTAGCAGTTGTAGACAGCTGTCGAACCGTAACTATCGTCGTTCGGTGGTGTTGCTCTCAGGGCTGAAGTCGGCAATGAAAGGTAAAAACCAGCGACTCAAAATGCAGGCTAGACAGTACAAGTGATAAAGAAGAAATTTCTGATACTCGCTACACTCACCTTATTATTCTCTGCGAATCCCTTATACCCAACTTAGCTTGATGTGGACAATGCCAAGATCTAAATGTCGGAAATTCGTCCTCGCATACTCGCAATCTCCTGCCATCCATCTCAATTCTAGAATGATCAATTCCAAGAGCAGCTGCAATCGATTACACCTTCGACATCGGCAATGATTCACGAGTTGCCGCCTATCATGGAAATACCACCTGTTACTTCGCCATCGCAATGGACGGTCTAACACTCTTCTTTTACGCAGTGGATATGGCTCAGGTACCTCTTGTTCAAGCGAAGTTCGAGAAGCGACTCTCCGGCTTTCCGAGTTCTCGGAGATCCTCCTGTGTACGCTGCCAATCGAACAGCTCTACCAAGGCAAAAATACCAAATTCCGCTTATGACTTTCACAAACTTCTAGTTACAAGAGGTATCGGCTTCTCCTCTCGAGGGCACATTTACGTGGTAGCATTGTACATTGCGGTCGACATGATTATTCTTTCACGGTTCTATACTGAATGTTGACGAGTAATCTCGCCCGAAGACTGGGATGGTATAAATCTGGAATATAATCGACGTATCTTACCGAAACAGGGCCACAATGAATATCGATTTCGTTCTCCTCCTCGCTATTCTAGCAGGCTACACCTACGAATGCATCGACATCAACCCTCATACAATTAGGCATGCATGCACTGTAAGCCCCTTTTCTCTTTTTTACCACTCCGCGTCACATACTAACCATCACAGTATCTTCCTCGCCGCCCAGGACATGGAACCACTCCAATACAATCTCTATGCCCACTTGCAACGGTTTGGAATCATTGCCGCGATACTGATGCCCATCGTAGCCATCACACCTCTCAGCATCCGACGTCGCAACTACGAAACATGGTACATGGTCCGAATCATTGCCGCGGTGTCGATACTCACAAAAGCGTACCGATACTGGCTGACGTTACATGCTCACGCGTAACGCCACAATAATAGCCATTGGCGCCCCATTCCTGCTCCTGAACAAAATCCTAAGATGGGCGCGGTACGCATGATATAGTCGCGGCTCGTATGCGACCATGGCACCACTCGCGATTTTAGGGGTGAGTATTGAGCTTACCAGATCTACCACGCGGGGCGTGAAAAGGGGTTATCCTGGGCGCAGTGCATGGTCGGTTGTACTGATGGCTGTAAAGGAAGGTGTGTGCAGGAGCGCAGTAAAGATATCATGGAGCTATACAGGAACACTAGATTGTTGAGCGGCAGGGTGTTGAAAAATGTATCCGGTAGCTTGAGTTGTGGCCGATAGACCGAAAGACATCTCGTATTCCTAACTCATTTAGCGAACGGGAGCGAGCTAAGTGTGTGGCACGATTACGAGACCGGAAAGGCGAAGCGACTGGACCCTATTCCTGATTGTTGACTTCTGTTTTCCAGGAACCATAGAATACCGATACTCAGAACTGGACCGCAAGGTCTAGTGATGAATGTTTGCCTCTACCCCATAGTCTGTATAGATGATCTCCGAAGAGGCTGACTCGGCATAGTATCCTCTACCTCACTGATGGTGCTACGGCCCAACACGAGATTTCTATTCCGTCTTCGTTGGTACTCAAGAATAAGCTTAATTGAAGCGGTAAGGAGCCCTAGGCGCCGGTGTTTCAGACCGCTAATCGGAGAGTCGCGCGTTGGTCCTGATTTTGCTGCTTACGGCCTCTGTAGTCATGATTAGAAATATTTAGAATATCTTAGTCCTATTCATATTCTAAATATGAATATGAATATTATATTCTGAATATATTTATGTTCTAAATATATTTAGATTTTTTTTAGATTTTTTTCTAAAAGTCGCTTATATAGTTAATATATATTATCTTTAGAAAAAGTTAAAAGAAAATCGAGTAGTAAATAAATGATATAATTATAAAAAACTTAGTAATTATATATTTCTATATATATTAGCTAATTTAACTAAGAGAATAGTAATTTTTATATTAAAAAAGTAAGAAAGTAATTAAAATCTCGAATATAATAATATAATTCTTTATCTAAAATACGATTTATAGTAAAATTTAGTAATAAAAAAATAGAGAAAATTTAATTTTTAATACTATATAATGTAATAATTCTCTATATTTTCTTTCTTTCTAAATAATTTTTAGCTAAGATTTAAAGACTTAATTTTTACTTTATTTTTTACTTATATATATAACTAAATTCTAAAGTTAAGATATATATTATTTTTATTAATAAAATAAACTTCTTTAAGTATAATATCGAATTCTAATTATCTTTATTAGAAAATTAAGAATATTTCTTTTAAGAGATTTTTTTTATATAAAAATTTCTTTTATATTAAAAGAAAAATACTCGTTATATAATTATATTATCTTAATAATTATTATCTCTATAGTTATTATCTTTATAATTATTATATTTATTTATTTATTTAATAGAAAAAAAATTTAATATATAGAAGCAAAGATCGATATTAAAAAAAGAAGAAAATTAAAATAAAATTCTATAGTAACTATTTCTTTTACTATTAAAATATTTATCTTATTATTTCTAATATAAATAAAGCTAAAAAGATATCTAATCTAAATAAGATATAATATCTTATTTAAAAGATATATTTTTCTATTTTTCTATTAATTACTATCTTATTAACTTCTTTAAAAGAAATAGTTTTTAAAACTTTTAATTCTTCGTAAGTTACTCTTAAGATCTTTACTTAATATAGTCGATTAATAAAAAGATTATCTTAAGATATTTTATATAAGAACTTTAACGAGTTAGATTTTAAGAAAAATGTATAATTTTTTTCTTAAAAATAATATTACTTTTTAAGCCTTACGTTTAAAATTCTTAAAAGAAATAATTCGCTATTATCGAAAGTAACTTTTAATTTTTTTATATAATTATAAGTTTAGGTCTATAAATAAGATTTATAGAAAGTAATTTATTTTTAAATCTAATTTCGAGATTAAATTCGATTCTCGAACTTCGAAGAGTAAAAATATTATATTTACTTAAAATTATAGAATTAAATTTTTAAATTTTTAAATTATTAGAAAGCGTAGATTAAGTTCTATATTTTAAATAAAGTAATAAAATTTTAATAGAAAAAAGAGAAGTTATATTAATAATAGATTTCTAGAAAGTTAATAAACTTTAAATTAATTTAAATCTAATTAATAAGAAGTTAATTTTAACTTCTATTATAGTCTTATTATTTTAATTACTATTATTATTATTATTATTATAATTTATAAAATATTTATTAGTTTTACGATTTTACGATTTTTTAATAAGAGAGATTAATGAATTCGAATCGAGGACGAAGCGAAATAGTTTCGAAATTTATTAAAATTAT